CACTTCTTTAAATTTAACAGCATCCAGGTGAATAAGGACAATGATAAGGACTGGATATTTTTTTCAGGGCTTCAGCCTGAATAGGGTATAGCGTCTACGCCATGTGCTCTTTTCCTTATCTAAGTTACAATGGTACTAAAAGCAAGACTGATTCTTTAACACAGTCACATAACAAAGTTTATTGCGCTCTCTTCCTCTCCTTCCTCATTTGGCATCTGCAGCAAGGTTTGTACCCTAGGCAAAACCCTACCAGTGCTTGTGGAGGGAGCAGGGAAAATGGGGGTGTGCTGCTGAGTGCCAGAGGAAAAAGTGAGCCGTGTGCAGGAGTCTTACCTTCCCCCGGGATTCAAAATCCCTGGGCTGCTGCCTGCTGTTACCATGGCATGGGATGCCCACAGGGCTGCCACCCTGGTGCCCCCTCTAAGTTGGCATCCAGGGTGGTGTCCCACTTGCCCCCACCCCTTGTATTACTTTTACTACCTGTGCAGGGTGGTAAAACTGTCTCAACAGAGACTATACTACAAAGAATTCATAGAGGCCTGTTTTTATGGTCAGACTATGGAACTAGGAGCTGAAGATGTGGACTCTGTTCCTAGCTCTGGTAAGGAGTCACTGTCTGACCCTATCATGAGTCACATGTCTTTGGTTAAGCCCTCCTGTCTTTTAGGAAGGCAGGGACAGGAAGGTACCTAATATATGAGGATGCTGGGCTGAGTACTTTACTGGTTTTTAGAGGCCTTCAAACCCCCATCTAGAACAGCAGATGCAACTAAGGCTTTAGACAGAAGCAGGAAAATTTAGTGATAAAAGGGATGCAGAATTGTGAAGGCTGCTTCAGGTAAGTGTGGAGGTTTGTTCCAAGCCTGCCTGAGCCACTTTATAGTGAAAGGCTCATCAGAAACGCCTTTGTGATGAAATTCTCTGAACACCTAGATGCTAAAAGGTGATCTGATTAGAATAGCCACAACAGCAATCACCTGCTTCAGTTAATACAATTCCACATACCTCAATTGCACTTGTGTATTGCTCAAGTCGGCTGTCAATCTTGGAGACAACTGTTGCAGAGTGAGTGGGCTTTGCACCACTGTTTGGGGTAGGGATTAAAAAGAAAGATATGATTACTCTGATCAAGCACTTTCCAGCTTTGTTTTAATCTATTTATTTTATTGTAACTAGTAGTTTATTACTTTACCTCTTCTGAGCGGATTTGTTCAAAAACTCTGCTCGTTCTTCAATCTACAAATAGAAAAAAAGTGCTATATACGTTCATCAACAACGTGAGCAGCCTGATACAATATAAGCTGAAGGGTGATACACAACTTTAAAGAGCAAAAGAAGAGAACCAGAAAAGGAGAATCAGCTTCAGATTCAAACCACTGCAGTCACGTAAACACAGGTTTAGAGATAGACTTATACTAGGATTCTGTTCTGCAAGAAACGTGCAAAGTTTAAGGAACTATGCACATTCCTTCATTTACATCTCACATAGTCTTCAACACTACCCAAGCACATAGTTTTTTCAAGAATAAGTCCCAAGTACAGCAGAGCTGGAAGTAAACGGAGAATAGGTTATGTCACTAAAAGGAACTTACATTATATCCCAATTTCACAAATCCTTCAAAAGCAGCATGAAAATATAATTGCTTCTTTTGAAAGAGAGGCAAATGCAGTACATTTGCCAAAATAGAGATACTAAAAAGCCGTATCTGGAGCTGGGTCACATGTCCCATGCTATGCAGTTTTAGTGACAGCCAAGTTAATTTTGAATTCATAGTGTATTTTGTTCATGTACAATTTGCTCATTTTTGAGTCAATATTTGACAGCTGTTATCACACAGCAGCATCTTGCAAACTGAAATAATTCTCCATTTCTACAGGGAAATCATGTGTCAGCTCCAGTACAGGTGAATTGTGAAGGTTTCAGGGAGATATACTAAACCTCTGAATAGTACAAGGAGAGAGAAAGGACTACAAGGAATTTCAAAGCATTTCATACAAGCTTTGCTTGCATTCTGCGCTTTGGGAAGCCAGAGGCAGATACAACAGCCAGTGTAATCAGCTGAAAGGACTTCATAATCCACATCTTTTTTCTCTTCTTATTCCCAGCAGTTATCTGGACTCACCCCTGTTTGATCCTCCCACATCCTATCTCAGGCACTCCCATTTAGGAGTGATAAAACAGAGGTAACTCTAGGGGATATAAATAACCTCCAGTTAGTCCAGAATTTAGGTTAACTGGGATCTTCCAGTTTATCTCTATGTCAATTGTCTGTAAGTCATTTTAATGGTGACTATTGCAGTACTGGTGTCTTTAAAGCTGAGGTAGTATAAACTAAAGACCATTCATTACAATGGTTCTAGGATTTTCCCTGCACCCTTCCACGCTCAAGCAACATAAAATGATGACCCCTTATTGTCGTGGGTGGACAAGTTGGCAACAACCTGTTCCAACTTTAATACCGCTTCAATCAGAGTTAATGTTGGAGCATTTTTAAAGCATCTGTACCATTCCCAGAATGTCCACCTGTAACAATTAGACCATAATTCATGGCTCAAATATTAAAAAGTTCTGTGGATCACAGAAGCCAGAATTCAATCAAGATCACTTGATACTGACAAATTAGCAAAGTAGAACAGTGGTACCAAACACATTTCACAGGCAGATTAGTGGCCTGGGGTCAGCCCATGGGCCCAATCCAGCACATAGGGCTACATCATCTGGCCAACAGGGTTCCCCATGGGCATGGAAATTTGGCAGCAGGACAAGCAGCAGCAACAACATTAATTGATTGCTGCTATGACTCCAGGAACCACAGCAAATAACATTGCCACTGCACCCCAGCTGCCAAATTTCCAGAGCCATGGGGAGCCCTATGAGCTAGACAACATGGTTCCATAGGCTGGATCTGGCCTAAGGGCCATATCTCAGTCACTCCTGAACTGGACAAATTCCAGTCAGTTCATCTGTGGATAAGGACATGTGTACTTCTGGAGCTATTTCAAAAGGGCAGCAGCTGTTACGTTATGGGTAGACAAGCCAGAAATAATACAAATGTAGTAAAACTGCTCCAACTTTAACTCTAGCTGAAGCAGTGCTAAAGGTGGAGCAGTTGTACTACATTTGTACCCTCTCTGGCTTGTCCACCCCTAACATTTAGGATGTAACAGCTGCTGCCCTTCTGAAATTTCCCCTTTCTGAAATGCTTCCAAATGCATGTGTGTTCACACCCTATGTTTTAGAAGCATACCAAAAGTTCAGTCCTCATCTAAGGGTATGAACAAACATACATTTGTAGCAGCTTCAAAAGGGAAGGGGGAGCTTCTGTGACTGCTACATATGCATGAGTCTGTAGCAAATGCATCAAAACCACTCCAACTTTAGCCCTGCTTCATCCAAGGCCAAAATTGGGGCCATTTAGCTACAGGATTATGCACACATACCAGTTACACTGTAACAGCTGCTGCAAGCACTTAAGCAGCTGATTCTCCTTCCCTTCTGCAGCTGCTACAAATATACATTTGCCCATACTCTAAGAACTAAGCTATACGCAAGGACTGATACAAAAGATGGACAAATATTATTTGTCCATGTAGGAGCAATTCAAATACTGTACATTTGCTGTTTCCTCAAACAGCCACAAGGTGACAGCAATGCATCAACCAGGGAGGCAAAGATGACTATATGCTCACACGTTTGGTCCTCCGCTATTTTCAACTTTTTAGAAATGGATTTTTACCCAAAAGAAATACAATAGAAATTTCCATTGGTGAACTGATTTGTGATGTTAGCTTAAGCAGGTAAACTTGTTCCAACCATTTTACCATAGATCAAGGCAAAAAATTCAAATGCTGCCTACCAGCAACAAAACTCAGCTTAAAATTAAATTTACTACCAGCCTGTTTGGTGGTGGGAAAATGCTACAAGAGAAATGTGGCTAACAACTGAAGGTCAGGTGGACTTACTTTTTGGCTCTCTTACAAGCAAATATGGTCTGAACAAATATTTAACATGGAACTGCTCTGTTATTGTAAGAAGCCTGTATTTTCTTACTGCACTCAGTTCTTGATAATAAATTTTGCTCTAAATGGGACTTCTAAAGAAGACTGCTGTACATACACTATAGAAGCAAAGGCCTTGATTTTTCATGAGCGCTGCAGAAGCAGATCTATCCCATATCAGTGGGGTGGTTCATAGAGTCTTCTGGTTGAAAAACGTAATTAAATCTGATATCTAATTGACAAACAGTTCTTCTAAAATTGGTTCCTTTTTTGAGGGGTTAAAGGTGTTTTGCTGCTCACAGACAATTTTTCTAGAGTTTCCTAGAGTTTCACTAAGGCGAGAAGACGTGTCCAGCAGTTACCCTTCCTTTCATTATTGGTGTGCCACCTTCTCACTCAAACAGGCACACAGCTGCAGCTGAGGATTTGAGAGAGAGGGAAGGACAATCACTCTTTGGGGCAAATGCTAAAAGTAGTGCATGCTTCTTAGGAGCTCTTTCTGCACTTGAGAGGGCATTGGGGTGAGAGAGGGTGGCAGGTGGGGTTCCTGAAAAGGAAAAAAAGATAAATGGAAAATAAGGCAGGAACCGAATTAGAATTCTTAGGACAGGGCATAGTTTTCTATCCTCCAGAATAGGATACTGTAACAGCTAATGGCTGTTGACATGAAGATTTGACCTGGAGCCCTATCCCAGGAGAGCCCACAATTTATTTTTTTTCCATGCATTAAAAAGCAATTAATCCATTTGGTCTAAATGCAGTATGACAACATGCAGAGAATTAAGCCACTCTATCTACCACACACTTAGCACTCGCCATGCATAGAATTAGGAACGTTAGGCACATACGGTAAACAATATTACAAAATAGATCTGTAAAACAAATAGGAAAAGCAAGATGGTTAATATGAATGGCAAACACTTGAAGGATTTCCTGAAGCTCTGACTAGTATTAAACATAATCGCTTTGCTGCAATATCTTTGTAAAGGCCTGTAACGGGGAGCCACAAGCTCCCATTATTTTAAGGGAGAAGCAACAGCAGGGAGGTCCCCAGGTACCCATTATGCGCTAGTTGCAGGGGAGCAGGCAACCAAGGATCCATAGGCTATAAGTACCTATTGCAGGGCTAGCAACCCAGGAAAAAGACAGCTGGGCAGAGATCTGTTTAGGCAGCAAGAGCACTGCTACAGCAGTGCTGGGGTCTAGACATCAAGCCTAGAAGGAAACTCTTGTGGGTGGCTGGAGAGCCACCTGACTGGAAGGGGTAGGGCTTTAGACACATACGACTAGTGCCTGAGACCAAGCGGGCAGTATGGGCCTGCAGGCAGTAGGAAAAGGAGCTCATGAGCAGGATGGCTGCAGAAGAGCAACTCACAGATACCTCAGCTGCCCTAGGAACTGCAAGTAAGGAGTGTATTACTTCCAGGGAAGTATGACCCAGTGGACTGAGCATAGCTATAAGGGGTGAATGAGGAGACCACACAGCAGTGCCTGACTGGCACACCAAGGTTTAGAGTCCTGCCAGGGCAGGTCATAAACCAGAGATGGCCTGGAGCTGAGAGGGCTAAGGCCATAGCTAAAGATGGGTGAAATCAGAGCCAGGTGCCCAGAGCCTGAGAGAGGCAAAACCACTCCAGCCACCCACAGGGGTTTCCTTCTATGCTTCACAGCTAGCCTGCTGTTCTGGCTGCTGTAGCTGTGCCCTTGCTGCCCAAGCAGATCTCTGCCAGAGACCTGGAGCCTGAGAGAGGCGAGAAAGGGCTGCAGCCCAGAAGCTGCGGTCCAGTACACCAGCTGAGAGGGGCCCAGCCAGAGAAAAAGGGTCAGAGTCAGAAAGGCTGAAGCCCCAACAAAGGCTTGGAGGCATGCTGTTATAATCAGTAACATCCATGAAACATGGGTGTAGCTATAGGGCTGGAAGGACACTACAATAGTCCTTAAGGCAACAGGTGCCCTGGGGGCATGGACAGGCCAGGAGGGTCCACTGAGTGCTTGAGAGGCAGGACTGGGACCAGTGGGATCTGGGAAGGACTTGCTGGATGGACGGGGGTTCTCTAGGACCCTAGGGCAGCCTGTCTTTTTACAAATCAACTAAGTACATCAAGGCATGTCAGGTGAGAGAAAAGGGAGGGTACCCAGGGACAGGAGCCATGTTGCCACAAGGGGGCATCAAGGCCACCCTGGGGTCTTTAATCCTGTTATGAGGCCTATGAGCCTTATTTTTTTAACAAAGAATA